TACATGATACTCTACCAATGTTAGGTACTATTATATGTCATATTGTGTATAATTACTTTGTAGTTTCTCTTCCAAATCATTGGTTGCTTCTTTTACTTCCTTTAATTCCACGAGTGTACATTCCTCTTTATTTTGATCCTCCTATCAGTAACTAAATTTTATACTCATGTATACTAATAACTAACAACTACATATAGTTCTGATTTACAATTATGTATCTACATTAATTAAAAATAGTGATATTGTACAGGCAGTAAAAAGAGAAAATTGGTGAAGTTTTACTTTCGAGATTGGCAGATTAATGACATAATAGCCAAAATAAAACTGCCAATACATTGCAATCATAGAATCACCAATATTAAGCCCCAAGAAATTTTCCTGCTACATTTCAGTGTCAATAAATTTTGACTTAAAATTTACTATACAAAATGTTTGATAATAATACCCCCGGTATTTATCACTAACCTTAGTTTTCTTTATTAATGACAGTTCTTGTTTTTTTTCCTTCATTTTATTCAAATCCTACATGTACATGTATTTATAATAGAACATGCAGTGATTAATAATCCATCAATAAACTACACTAATATAACAACACACTCCAACAATAAGCTCTTATACATTGAAGTATTAATTCCTCCTATACATGTAATACCAACAAACAAGTACCTTTTCTTTTTCACTAAGTATTTTTGTTAGCTGCTGTGCAGTTTCTTTAAGTTCTTTCTGTCTCTATTGATTATAATAATAAAATAATCAAACACAAATTATTTTACCCTTGTATCATGAGGTTGTTCCTTTATCTCCTCTACCTCCTCTTCCAGTTGTTCCTGTATTTCCTTTATAATACAGTATATAATGATAATTACTGACAGTATATATACACATACTTGTATCTTTTGTTTCTTCCATATTGTGCAGTATCCAACAGTAAGCTTCATTAGACCATTCTTTATTAATAATTCAAGATTCTCACTCAATTTTATAATGAGAGCTCCAGTGAGAGAGTGAGGGAAGGAGCAAGTGACAATGATGGAGTTTCCTTTCTTGATGTATTTTATTTTTGCTAGTTTACCAGATGTTTTGGAAACAATTTTTTAAATATTCTGTAGCATGTGCTCATCTGGTTCCCAGTCAAAGACATATGTAACTGTTTCACATTGAAGAGAAGGACTACCTCCTAATGCTTCAAACTTCTCATTTAAACAAAGACTAATCTTTACTGTGCG